AACATTTTATTTATTGTCTTTGACACATAGGGGTCTCAGAAATATTCTCAAGATTACCCTGGATTCATAGCAAACAGGATCCTTATACCCATGATAAATGCAGCTTTTTTTCTTTTTCATTCTACGATTGGGTGGCAATAAAAGAGGACAATGATATAGGGCAAATTCTTGATCAATGGGAACCAAAATCCAATTGATCAACTTTTCCCCTCTCAAAATCTAAAAAAAGAACGCTCCTTAAAGGAAAAAAGTCAACATTCAAGGTAATGGTAAAATCTCTGGCTAGTATGTGTGGGAATGTGGATTCCAGTCTGAGGACAGCCGCTTTGTGCGAAAATATGCCAAAAGTTAGGACCATATCCAGTTTACCCCACGCAATATTGCATCATTATAGGCTTGTTTATCAGTCTGGGAATCAGTTTAAAGGGCAATTTTATGTTGGTCTCTGAAACTTGGAACATAGATAAAGCTGGGGTAACTCTTCCCAAGAGCCAAGAGGGTGTCAAGGATTCCTTGTTGGGCAGGCAGTCTGCACTGGTCGAATCAGCCCTCCTTCCCTGTGAAGGATGCTGTGTGGACCCACTACCAATCTACCATTGATTTGGACTCAGTACCCCTTCAAAGACCTTGGTAAGAGAAAACAGGTGGGTTGACTCACTCAGAGGCTAGAGGCTGAGTTGCCCTGTTCTTAGAGCTGTAGAGGGGGGTCATTGTAGTTTGAGACCTCAGTCAACCCAATCTGATCACTGTGGCTTGTTCATCAATCCCTTTCAAGGGAGAGAGAGTATGAAACTACATTACTACGTAACTCTATCAGAAACAAACCTCACAACTCACATAATATTACCCAACCCCATGTGTTGTCAATGAGGCCCACCTAATAAAGTTCCAGGTTCACTGTGATCAAATTGGCCAAGAACTCTTGCGCGTTGGGCTTTAGCCCAAGTACATTGCTCATAAGTCATAACAAGCTTGGCCACCACAGAGGAGATAGGGCGTTGCCCTCGTGAGGACTGCAAAGGATGCTGCCATGAGCCCACCAAAAACTTGTCACAGAGATCATCCAAGCTCATCAATCAATGGGCCATCTCACAAAAAACCCGTGTTTTAATTTTGTCTCATTGTACTCTTCCTGAATTGGGTCAAAACAAAAAGAAAAGCTATCTGGGGAGAAAGTATAAAGAGACCATGGATGGCTCATATTTCTGAGGGAAGACTGCAACCCAAAATGGCTTCATGTGGATTGATTGAATGAATGAAGACGCTGACAAGGCCCAAGAGTTCAGTTTTCATTGGATTATTTGAAAAATCCGGTTTTAGTTATGATAACAGAGAGAATAATGGGTAAAAGTCCCTTAAAATGGGTATGGAGAGAGAAAAAAAAAAGTTTCTCTTTTTCTATAATGGGTCTGAAATGGATAATGGGTAAAAGTCCCTTAAAATGGGTATGAAACCCTTATTTATGGAATTTGAGTGAGGAAAATTCCAGAAACTTCTTTATCTTTTCCATTTTACACTTATTCTAGAATGTTCTTAACTTATTAACATATTAACACGCATGTTTAATTACATTCTGGAGTATTTCGTACATGAACCTTCAATTAATTGGTCCAAAACAATCCGGCTCAGGTTTTTTTTTTTTTTTGGAAAAGTATGAGATTTGATCTATAAGAATATTAGATTTTTTTTTGTATAAAATAAGAAATTTGCCCGAAGTTTTGAAAAGTGGGAAAGTTTTCTTTCACCTATCTTGGGTCTGAAATGGAAAAAGCTTCCCAAATTTAATTCCTCCACATTCAACAAATAAGTGGGTGGCGTTATTCTAATACCCGGGGAATGTAATGCTCCACACCACACTACAAGGCTATTTTCCTTTGGGCCCTTGGGAGCCTTTTATTCCGGGAATATGTTTCAGCTCAGAAGGGAAAAGATGATGCCACTTGTCTACTATTACTCCTTTACAGGCATATTTAAATTTAAAAATTAAAAAAAAATTGAATCACCATTAATATTGGGGCAGAACTCCAATACATTTATACAAACAAGTAAGATTGATATAGTGGGAACAGATTGATACTTTAAAGGGGCCCATATCTGAGAGATGTTTTTGACTGGCCAAGAGGGCTGTAAATGGGCCAGCTTCCTTTTGGAACTACCTCTGGATCCAAATTCCATTACATTGATAATTGGATTTGAATCAGATATCATCCATTGGTATAAAAGTAACTCTTATAAGACTTTGAGACTAGGACCCATAAGTGAAAAAACAACAGCTGAACCAACTTTATAACCATGGAATTAGTCCATGTGACAGAAATTAGATGTTGTATGTATGATGCATATAATATGATGATTCAGAGTTCTTTTTCTTTTTCTTTTTTGGACAAAAGCACTACCAAGAAGGATTGGAAATGTATAAATGAATGACTCAATCAGTTAAAGTTTTGTTTTTCCCTAATTTTCACTGTGTTAACTCAAAGTAGTCCATACTCCTTAGTATACAGCTTGAGTCTGTTTAAGCTCTAGTTGAGTGAGTCAACACAATGAATTCTGAATAAACTCTGTGAGTTGAATTGAAATTTATGGAATTGCTTTTTAGGTGGGGCACATAGACTGACTGGCTGTGAATTATGTTAACAAGGCCCCCATCTGAACAACTAGATGCCTTATTAGGTGATGAGGTGACAAAACTTACATGACAGGTGGTTTACTATTGCAGTACTTAAACCGCACATGCAACTTGTTAGTAATTTTGATACATGTTATCATACATTTTAACCTTTATATTTTATCACAAGATTTAACCATTAAAATAAGAAAATATTGAAGGGTCTTGACTCTTGAGAAGGGAGAAAACAAAGGACAAAGTCAAACGGCAGACCCCTTTATTTATTTGTGAAGTTTAGGGCCTATTAGGGTATTCTGTGGGAAATTATGGGTATTAAATGCACTTAATTAGTGCATCTAAACTCTCAAAAAAAAATTATAATAATTCACAGAAAAAGAGGGAAGATTTGTTTATCAATTTATGATACTACTTAGTTTAACGGTGAAAAATATTAATATGTATGAGCTAAAGAGATGATATATCTTATTTTATAGCTTAGGGGTGATCATTTCAGCCCAACTCAGTCTGGCCTGACCTGCATAAGCCAGTCTGGAAATTTCGGGGTTAGGACTAGGTTTTATGTTTAAACCTGACTCAGGCCTAACCGGACCCATATATAATAAAGCATATTATATACCCGGAATCCGACCCGGTTCGGCCATTGATCACCCTTAGGCGGTTAGGCCTTAGCCATCAATTTCTGTTTTTTTTCTTTCAAACAAATGGTCTACAATCCTACTCGTAATACTTGCCCAGTGACGATACACCATGTCAATTCATCGGTATCAATGCATCAATAGATTGAATACGAATCAGGCAAAGGGCAGGGGCAGAAGTGCAGTTGTACTTGTATGAGTCTGTTGCCTTTTATATCCAAGTACATAGAGTGGAATGACGTGGCGGATAAGAATTGGGCCAGTAACACCATTTTCTTGACGAGGTGAACCGTATAGAATTCTGAGGCAAAAAGCAGCAGAGGCATGACCATGGGGGTGGAGGAGGATGATGGATGGTTGGATGGGCATGGGCATGGTGTTCAGTGCAGGCAGGCGTCGTTCTTCGTCTCTGCCACATTTAAACCAGAGAGGCGCCAAGTTTCAATCGTCCGTCGCCCCAGTGGTCAGATGAGTATCCCGATACCAGCACTCACCGAACATCTGTCACCCAACCCACCCCCATCGGCACGCTCCTTCTCTTCCTTTCCTCTCGCCCCCTCTGTCATGGCCTCCCCCATCGACCCCTCTGCATCTTTCGACGCGTTTCTCTCGTCTTTTCTCCACCTGTGCTTCACACATTGGCCGTCATTTATCTTCATCATCACCACCACCATCATCTTAACCCATGCCTTCTCTTTGCCTGCAACACAACCCAACCCCCTCCCATTGATCAAAATTATTTCTGTGCCGTGCGTCTCCTCATGGAGAACAGCGTCCCCGTCCCTCAACCAGTTACAGCCACCCCCACAGCCTTCACCATTGCTGTCATTCATCCCACCACCACCAGGCTCACTCAAGCAGAAATGTTAAGAAACAAAGAATATGGCAAGGAGCTGCAACTGGGTCTTTCTCCTCCTGCTGCCTCCGCCCCACCTCCTCCTACTGTAGTAGTTCCTACACCTAATCATCCTTTTTCTACTCTTGACTCACAAAGCTCTATTTCAACTTCTCAGGACCACCATCATCATCAACAATACCATTATCCAAACGAACCCCAGTGTCATCTAAGCGAGCCCCAGTATTATTCTTATTTGTTCTCTCCGGATTATTCTTCTTCTTCACCCATATTCCCGGTTTTTCCGTTGATGGTCGATCCAAGCGCAGTCGATAATGGACTGCCAAGTTCGTTGGTTGGGGGTCTCCTCGATGGCTACTACCCAGATGAAAAATTTATCGATAATGGGTTGGAGAATTCGTGTTTTCTTGAATCCATGACCCAATCCCAAGGGCCGCAGCAGAGTCTATGGGGATCCATAACGAAGGCCGCCAGGAGCAAGAGAAGGATAGCAAGGCGGATGAGTTCTACCTCCTCCTCTTCCAGAGTTGGTCACTTGAACCAGACCTCTTCTTCTTCTTTTTCCACTTCTCTCGGGTCGTTCTTGTCTCCGCCTCCCAACAAGAATATTTCTTTCTCTGCTACTGATACTAGCAGCAACAGCGATACCGACAACAAGAGGAGGGAGCTCTTCACATTCACCACACCAGATAACAAAGTGGGTTGTATCGAATTGGGTTTCTCTAATCTTTTCTGATTTTATTTTTCCTTGTTTGCTTTTAGTGTGGTTTTTTTGTCCCTCTGTGTTTCTCCCATTTTTTTTCTGTTGAGATCTTGAGATGATATCCTCCGTCACTGATTCTTGAGTTAATTGGGAACAGAAACTCCGACTGTTATTGCAGAAAGAGCTGAAGAACAGTGATGTAAACTCTCTTGGAAGGATTGTACTCCCAAAGGTGAGGTGTTCACAAATCACAACCCCAGTAGATACATTCATGAGAACTCTATCTATATTTTATTTGGTTGAGTTTTCCTTTTTAAGAAAGGAGGCTGTGAAAAGTGAAGGAATCCTCCAATCTCTTTTACCCGATTTGCTCAAGGACCACTGGGACCTTAGTTTTATTTCAGACTGCCCAATAACGAACCTCCGTCCTGACTTTTCGATCCTCGTGAAAATAAACAAATACAAAAAATAGTTAATCGTTATGATATTAACACGATAATAATAACTGTAATTTCTGTATTACCGCAGAAAAGAAGAAAAAAAATTAAACTTCTCGTTAATTTTCTTTTACTTGTTGAATTCGCCTTCTGTATTCCTGACTTCTTTTGCTTGTTGTATTACTGTTACTGTTATGATAATAAACAGAAAGACTCAGAGGCAAACCTTCCAACCCTCACTGTGAAAGAAGGATTCCAAATTACTGTAAGAGATCTGGTTTCTACCAAGGTCTGGCACATGAAATACAGGTGGGTATTTCCTCTTTTGTTTCGATTCATTCAAGCTGTTTTAATGGAGACTTGGGTATTGAAAGAAGCCTTCTCTCTGTAAAAAGTGCAGGTTTTGGCCGAACAATAAGAGCAGGATGTATGTTTTGGAGAATACAGGTAAACCCATTACCCATCTACTCGATTTCAGATCCAAGCTTTCGAAATCCTTCATTCTGGCTCTTTTCAACTTGTGAAAAATAATCAAGAAACCTAAACCTTTTACAGGAGATTTTGTGAAGCAAAAGGGTCTCAAGGTTGGAGACTCAATCCTCCTCTACCAAGATGAAGACGAACAATTTGTGAGTCATCTTTCTAAACCACTCTACAATCGTTTTCCAACTACACCACAGCTTCTGAGCTTCTATTTCTAGTTTTCTTCGATAGCTGAACTGAAGCTGATCAGTGAGAATGAAAATCAAGAAGAAAAAAACCGAAATCAATCAGTATTCAGTACATAAACTTTTAGGAGAATGACTGAAATGCCCCTAATCTCTTCGAAAATGATGAAAATGTTACTTCAAAGGATGTAGGGCAGAAGACAAAAAGACGGTAAGCGAAAGGACAAAACGACTGGGCTTTAGCGACACGTGTGAGATGATATCTTGGGCATTCATTGTCATTTATCACAAAGTAGATTAAAGTGGGTGTGAGTCCACGTGTACGACAGCTTGTTAGAGGGAGTATCCAAAGCAAAGCAAGTAGGTGTAAGTGTATAACGTGCACCACACAACAGCCTATCACATGTTGCACACATACACCCATATATCATACATCCATCTCTGCAACATGGTTCATTGCTTCATTTTAAAGGTGGCCCCACCGACTGAACGGTCCAAATGGCACAGTTGATGGGCCCCAATAAGGGACCTAGGTTGGTGTCTTGAATTGTGGAATGAGCTCAGCAGTCAGCTCAGCTGTCACGTCACTTGGTTGGCTATAAAAGGCTGTCGACGGATCGGATCAGGATACGGATCCGACCAAAGCCCAGTTGGACTATGCCACGTGGGATTTCAATTTTACCCTGTATATGCATGTACACGTGTCATGCTTCCCTGGGTAGTATGTATAATTTAGAATAAAACTACATGTCGCTGAAATCTTTAGCTGTTCAGCAGGCTGTATAATCAATTATAATACTCTACACCAGTTCTAAAATACATGGACCTCACCGGCATGGGGCATTATCATTGGTTCCACAGCCTCTTATTACAGCTAAAACGTTCATCTAATCCGAATTCCTCTATACGACTAACTAAGCTTCATTCTTTAATAGGTTTTCTCTTCAACTATTGCAAGTTAGGCAAATAAACACAACCATGCATTAACATCGCTTGATGTATTAGACATTCTTAATTGCTCAAATTGAATTACCTTCTGAACAAATTTGCCTGTCTTCTTCATTTTGTGCCCCTTGTTGTAAATCCAATTTGATGGGATTATTTGTTCTATTCAAGGAAAGAAAAAAGCCCCTACTCTGTCTTAAAATATAAAATAAAGAACACAAGAGTAAAATCATCCAAATGGGTAATTTGGGCATATAAAATGTAGCATTTCCAATCCATTTTTTTTTTTTCTGATAGAATGCTAACAAACGTATTTAATTATTTTCTTTACTTGTTATAGCTAGTTCAAGGGGGAATCTGGCACGAAATGAAAACTAAAGCCTATACTAAAGCTTTTAACCAATACTAAAATCTCATCTCAGTTTTATCCTAGTCCTTTAAAGCATCCCTTATGGAAGGGTTCTGCATTGACCTTTGAGAATGGGAAGAATATATATATCAAGAATGTTATTATGGGATTTTGGAGTTTTAAGTCTGGAATATGAAAGATATTTGTTAGGCTTTGCTTGTTTGCAGTGCAAATCTGAAAGTGGTATAAATTTTGCACCAGGTTCAGTTTTGCATCCATTTGTTTGTAACTATGATTTGCACTTCTACCTGATATAAAATTTGTATTTTAGTCCTATTTGCACCACCTTCCTACTACCTCTCACTCCCAAACAGTAGCCCTCCTACTTGCTTCTTTTCTTATATAAGTGGGGATCACTTCATTTTACTTCTTGCAAACAAATCAGAAAAGTCAAATCTAAAGGCAAAAGTAAACCAAAATCTGCACTCCCATGCATTTTAATTTGCACCACAAACAAGCTGAGCCTCAACACCAAAATGGGTGAATCATCCGGTCTTTGACTAAACCAAATTAATGGCCTCAAGGCAGATGCCGCATATCAAAACCATTCGTATTAAAGTTCTTCATCTAAATATAACACCCATAGTTTTACCAGAAAAGAAAAAATAACAGCCATAAAATTTGAGCCTAATCACTACTGAGAGGTTGGTACCTTGTTTAAAATTTGATGTCTACTTTTTGCAAGATTTTAATGGATAAAAGTAGTTGGGCGAAACATGGCTAACAAGAGTGGTTTATCAGTAGATATATATGGTGCCTGATCTTTTAAGCCGACAATTTTGATCTTTTAACTAGAAGAATAAAAAAAAAAGTTAAGTTCCAAGATTTCAATTTTTCTAATATGAAAACTCATCCACACAGGACCATTTATATTAAATACACAGGTAAAACTTTTCTGCTGAGATTTTTTTTCCCTTAAAAACTAAGAACATCAACTATGCACACTGTTCATATATAAATTGTTGTTGCTAGTTCCACTTTGCTGGGTTTTGTCTTTTAGCTTCCAATGGCTGATCAGTAGCCCTGAAATTTTGTTTGTGCAAGAGCAGTTCATCTGTGCTAAGAGGGCAGAAGAACCACCTCTGGAACTTTTGAAGAAAGAACTGGAAGAGTGTAAAGTAGAACATCGTGCCCACTCATCAGAGAGAAGAATGATGGAAGAGGATGAGCACTGTGATCCATTTGTAGTTCTTGAGACTGAAGTGGATACACAAGAGAAGGTGAAACTGGGTAAAGGCAAAATGATCATGTTGGAGGACTATGGTTGTTCAGACAATGACACTTGTGGTGGTTCTTCTTCTACCCAACTGGGCAAGGAGGTTGTAGAGTCTCAATCGTTGAATAAGGAAGCAGCAGGCGACTTCGATTGCGTCTTCAGTGAACTGGAGATGCTACCCAACTTCGGTGCGTGTGACCTATCCTTGTATAATGATTTCATGAGCGATTTTTCAGACCCAGGTGGAGAGAATAGGGTAGTTGCTAAGTAACTTAACACTGTTTTCTACCCATCTTTCTTTCCTCTTTTGTTTCTCAATTTTTGAAATTTAATTTTTGTTCTTGGGTTTGGGTTGTAGTTTTGATTTTTGGGGAAAAGATAAGGAAGGAAAATTTGCACCGTCTTGGGGGAGAGAATGTGTGCCCATTCTTATGAGCATAGTGAAAATTGTAAAATTAAATGAAAAAACAAGGGGAGCTTCACGTGTAATTATATACTGTTTCTCAACCATAAATGAATTAAGATGATGACAGATTCCAAAGATTTTTCTCCTCTATTGTTTCTCATGATCTACATCTTTGTTGGAGGATATGTCTATGTTCACAGGATCAATTTTGTGTGACCATAATCACAGCAGAGGCAAACTCCATTTTTATCCTGGAATGTTTTTTATATTATTATCATCACAAACAAATTAATGGGATTTACTTTTGAAAAGAAAAACAATATATGCCTTTGATTAATATTCTTTTAAAAATAAAAAATGTATATATTATATTTAATGTAAAAAATAAGGGCAGTACTTCTACAGCATGAATACATGTTTCCTGGTATTGGTACTGCATGAGCATTATGGACTGTAAATGTTGCACGCTCAACTGTGAATGTGGCACCTCCAAACCACTCTCATACTATGGCATTAACTTTTGTATATAAAGAGTGCAACTTTTACATCCTATATTACACGGGTGCTGGCCAATATCAATGATTTTGTTTTTCAAAACAAAATAATTTTCACAGTAAAAATTAATAATGGTATAGAATTTTATTTCTTATTTACCCAAAAGGGGAAAAATAGCTTTTTCCAATTTTCTGCATTGTGGTTAAAAGGCAGAAACTTGGTTCATATTATATTATTGTTTGGACCAAGAAGTATTTTTGAAGGTGGAATTTGATCCCAAATCTCTGCTACAATTAACACAAAGACACTTGCTATAAGAAGGTTTTGTGTGATGAGATGATGATTTGGAGCCACACTTTTTATCCCCAATAAAATCAATAATTTCATTTACCAAGAAGCTCTTTAGATTCTAAGCTTAAAGTCTTTTTTTGTTTTTTTTTTTTTGTTTTTTTTTTTTTTTTTTTTTTTTTTGGGGGGGGGGGGGGGGCGCTAAAAGTCCAGTTCCATTATTAATGTGACAAGTATTAATGATAGAGATTCAGTATTTATCAATACAGGTGGTCCACTTTGTATGTGTTGTTTATATATATACTACTATTAAAAGTGTCAATGTGGTCTAGATTCTGAAAATTTTTTGACTAAAATACCTTATTTTTTGAACTTGATCTGCCTATATTATGAGAGCAAAAATCATAATTTGAAATACTACTTTTATTAAATTTAATATATTCGTCATCATTATTAAGTCCTATATTTAAGGTATTAATTTCCATTTCCTTTCATTAAAACTTATATTTAAGGCACATTAAATAAATGGGCTTTGTGGATTTTTTTGACTAAAACACCCTTATTTATGAATTTAGTCTCTCTATAACTATGTGGGCGAAAATATAGTTTAAAGTACTAATAACTTTTATTAAGGTATTACCTCTCATTTTCTTTCTTTAGATACTTTATTTGAAGTATTTTTTGTTTCTCATCAACAAATTTTACAAATTAAATCTATTCCAATATTTTAAATAAAGTAAAACTATGTTCAAAACCAACATGAAAAATAATTAAGAAAACCACCCTCTTGTCTGAGTGGCAAGTAAATAGTTTAACCATCTACATCAATAACCATGCTAAACAAAAGTATTCAATGGAAATGAAATACAAGATTTAAAATTGACCCAAAAGCGAAACCATTTTCTTATTCATGTGGTGGGTCAACGGTTCAACTTTTTAGGTCAAATGGTTCAATCCATGATATCATAAATAAAAAATAAATATTTTCAAAAAGGATGGAGATACAAAAGTTATTAAAAACATAGAAATCTTGTAAAAAAAATACTTGGGTGCATCTCTAATAATATATATTCATCATATTAAACATAAATAAGTGTTATTTTTATTTATAACAGAAATGCAATTAAAAAGTAAAGTAACATAAAAAAGAAAACTATTTTTGTGTCTAATTGATAGTCAATGGTCCATAGGGAGGCAAATTAGGTGGGCTTAACTTGAGCTTGAATTGACCCAGCTTGTAATTTTAGATAGGGTAGATTTGATTTTCGATCCTCAACTTGAGCTCCCAAGGCATAATTTTTTTTTTTTTTTTGGGGTTGAGCCCAAGTGTAGTCCTTAGGTATCTAAAGTCAAGACTGGTTATATGCATACAATCCTAAATACATACATAGCACATACTTGTATATATGCATGTATATGCAATTATGCACATACATTTTATGTCAAATTTTGTTATGGGGCTGATTGACTGAACCAAGTCCAAGACTAATCCAAATGTGATAAACAATAATTATTTTTAGAATTAATTATGTAAATGGGATAAAAATTTATAGTTGCCCAAAACTGAGATATTCTTAAGCCAAATAGGCTAGCAAATGATGTCATAATTATATAATAAAAACTCAAAAAATAGATAGAAATAAAAATATAGAAATCACAAAAACTTGTCTATAAAATTTGTGCACATCTCTAATATTATATATTTATCATATTAAACAAAACTAAATATGATAAATAAGAAGTATTTTTATTAATAGTGAAAATGAAAAATAAAATTAAAATCCACTAGCACATCATGCTTTGATTACTTATCCTTTTTTAAATGGTTCTAATAAGAATATTGAAATTACTAATGTTATCTAAAATAGTAGAACAAAAGACCCAATATTGTTTCATGCAACAATGTTGTTTGGGGCCAAAAGTGAACTGATCACTTCTTGACATCTTCTTCACTCTCTAAAAATGGAATCAATGTTGTAGGCATAACTTAGTGGTGCAGAGTACAGAAAGTAAATTTTAAAAGATATATTGTGATATGTTTTGGATATGCTCGAATAGAGTGGAAAAATTGAGGTAAAACATGGGTATGTTTGAATTTAAATAAATTCCAAAAGTCACATTAATGACACGAAATCTAGGTCTTATATAGCCATAAATATAATATATAATCATAAAATATACATAATTTAATTGTTTATTTCAAGTATAGACTACCAGGGAAATTTGAAAAATGTTCAAAAAAGGATAGATCTAATAACTAAGATATGCATGTATATCTTCAATTTTAGTAAAGCAATTTAATTATTATTTATATTTATAAATATATAAATTATAATAATAAATTGCTTATTAATATTAATTGGTAAGCATGCAATAAGAAAAAATAAGTTGACATTTAGAACTCATATGCATTATAACAAGATGGTAGTAGATCTCTTGTTTTCCAACTTAGATGGCAGGTTAAAATCTTTATTCTTGTAATTATAATATTTATTAGGTAAGGTATAAAGACAAATATGAGAATTTAATAGTCATATATTGAGAAGAGAGAGAATTAGTGCATGAGTTATTAAAAGGAAAGAGTTAATGAGTTGAGAATGAGGAGAGATAATCTGAATTAATAAGGGAAACAAATTTGAATTTGAATCAATGACTTAAATATAAAAGCTAATGAGAAAGGGTAAAAAATCATAAAAAATATGAAAGCATTGGCTAATACAGGCTTCAAACGAATTAATAGTTTAAACCTTGAATGGAACAAATTCCATATTGAAAATCTTAAGATACATATGGAAAATAAGCCTCACTTTTGTTGAGTGAGAAACAACTTAAATTTCGAATTTGAGGTATAAGCTTGATGTAGAATATGGTAAAGTATTTAAACCAAATATAACCCAATTTAAGTTGTATTTGGCACTATTGTTGTTTCTATTTGAAAAATTTTGGATTGATTAATATAAATTGATATATAATTTTTATTTGAAGTTGTCTATAGTTAAAACATTCATGTGAGGAACAAATCATTGACATTGATAGTGAAATCTAATCATTCTAACTAAAATAATTCACTTATATGATAGTGATAATACATGTCTCTCACCGGTTTGTATTATTGATTAGAACAAAATATTTCATGTAGAAATAGAGATGACGTTGATAGTTGATACCAGACACAACTACCTTGGTGGTTCAAATGAACTAAATCAACTCTCTAAGTGGCAGAAATAGAATATGTCATATTGCCACCACATGAAATTTTGTCCCATAAAAATAAACACTATCTTGTACAAATAAATAAATAAATAAATAAATAAATAAAATTTTAGGGGCATTATAATAAGCTTTGTTCTGCAAAATGTATACTTTTAAGGGTGTAAATGTAATAACATATGCTATTAATTTAATTCTCAAGACAATCAAAGCATCCAAATACCTTCCACCATGTTGACATTTTTCATTACTAATAATCAATGACAAGGAAACGTGTTCAACGATATTTAATTGCTGCATTCAAGATGATTGGCAACTTTACATACGTGGCTGGCACTTGGCAGGTGTATTGCCTACTTGAATAGCTTCATTGTGGTTATTTTGTGGAATTACATATTTTTTTAGGGTGTCAATGTAATATATGTTATTATTCACATTAAAAGAAAAACGGTCAAAATCGGTGGTGATCGTAGGACCGTCGGCTTATCCCTTTAGGCCACCTCCCCTTAAACCACTGCCGGCCTATGTCAAGACCGTCGGTTTAGACAGAAAAGGCCTTCGCCTTTGAGGACCGGTCTGATATGGTTCAATCATTCATAAATCGGTGGTATGTTAGAACCGTTGGTTCAAAGTTAATAAAGGTGGTGATCTTAATCGCCGCCTTAGGCCAATTGAAACGTTGCTTCCGTTTTTAGGTGGCGGTCTGAACTGCCGTCTCAGATCTCTTTAGACTGCCACTTTAGGTTGGTCAAAATGGTGCTTTCGTTTTTAGGTGGTGGTCTAGACCGCCAGCTTAGATCTCTTTAGACCGCCGCCTTAGGTCGGTCAAAATGTTGCTTCCGTTTTTAGGTGGCGATCCGAACCACCGGCTTAGATCTCTGTAGACTGCCAACTTAGGTCCGTTGAAATGTTGCTTCCGTTTTTAGGTGGCGGTCTAAACTGCCACCTTAGGTCTTTTTTATGTCTAAGGCGGCGGATGTATGACCGTCGGCTTTGTTTATTTTTATTTTTTATTATTTATATCAATCTAATTTTAACATTTTTTGGTATATGTTTAATACAAATCTCATGGCAGATAATACATAAAAATCAATTTAAATAAAAATTCAAATTAAAAATAAAAAAATTAATTATTATAATATCCAAAACAAATTGCT